ATATTTAAAGTTTTATTATAAGACCACAGAAAGTAGCAACACATTACTGCCTGCGCCTTCTGTTGTTATATTTTGCGCGAGCCACGGGGAAAGGTGGAGAACAGAACGTGAGGCGCGGGCGGCGCGGGGCGGCCGCGGAGGGCGGCGCGGGCGGCGCTGAGGGCAGTCGGGGGCGGCGCGTGGAACGTGCCTGGTTTTAGAACACATTAAAATTCTCCATTATTTATTTCTCTCGTTTTAAAAAGCATTCTCTCATGTAGTATTTCCCAAGATATTGTACGAAGGGAGATGAATTCTTGAAGTCGCCACTGACCTCTGCGGCGACGCGGAGGGAAAGCGGGGGTTTCTCTTGCCCAAAAGCACTTTTAAGCACTTTACCTCACTACATATTCCACCGCAGCGGCAGAGAAAAAAGAAGAGAGAAACAAGCTTCGTATCCATATCCATAGCCTGTCTTCAGGACTGGCTCGCGCAGGGGTATCCACCGATGGCGCTGTGGGTCGTGGGCGGCGGAGCGGCGGCCAGGCCTCGTAGGCGATATGCGCCGCAGATACCAGGAGGACCGGTTATTCGCCGGCAATCGACGCAAATCGATGCGTTATGCCAAACACGGCGAAGACGCTCCCGAGACGGCTAGCGGCGCCGCCGCTCCAGGGAGCAGGCCGCGAGCGGCACGCGGGTGGGGGGGGGAACCGACCAGGATGGGGAGAGGGCTGCGCCGGGCGCAGTCAGGGGGGGGGCGGGCGAGAAGGAGGGACGGGGTAGCGGTCAGGACTGCCGCTACCTGAGCGGTAGGATAGGAAAGCAAGGGAAACGAAACCCACCAAGGCACGTTCATGACGGAAAAGAGCGTGCAGTGATGTGCGGGCGAGGTAGTAAATGTTCACAGTAACACTATTCACGTGTGGAACCGGTGTCGGAGTCGAGGTGACGAATGCAGTGCATTGGGAAGTGATACAAAAAGCTGTCGGGCGTCGTGCAGCATCCGGAGGGTGATCGTAAAATATTTCACAAGCGAGCGCGCGCGTAGGCGGGGAAACGCGGTTGCCAGTTGCGGCCGGGGCGGCGATCGAGAGAAGTGCGGGCGAGCTTAGGCAGGCGGCTGTGCGAGGCGCGGCGAAGGGCGTACGTGAGGACGCAAAACAAAGTGGAATGAGGCGATGCAGGGTGAGTTGTGGAGGAGGAAACGCATTGTGTTGTGAGCTCCGTGCCGCGGGTTCTAACGCACGCAGACGAAGAGAATTGGCTCGGCGGGGCCGCGCGGAGCGGGCGGGCGGGGAGGGGCGGGGAGCGTGGGGCGTGGCGGCGAAGGGGCGGCGCCGGCGGCTTGGCGGATGCCTCGCACCCCTGGCCGCTCCCGCGAAGCATCTGCGTTCTCCCAAGAATATGCAGCGGGTCATAATTTCTTCCATTTATTGCGAGGCGCTTGTGCCTCGCTGCCGAGCGCTGCCTCCATCAGCC